CTCACTTTCGCTCGCGCGCTCTCTCTTGCTTGTTTCTGTATATATGTATATGTGTATATATTTTTGATTCTTATACTATCTCTATATCTATCTATATATATATATATATCTCTATCTCTATCTCTCTCTCTCTCTCTATAGAGCTCGAAAAAAATATTTATTGTTATATATACACACACACACACACAGACACACACAGATATATATATATATGTGTCTATATGTATGTCTCTGTCTCTCTCTCTCTCTCTCTCTCTCTCTATATATATATATATATATATATATATATATATATATATATATATATATATATATATATATATATATATATATATATATATATATATATATATATATATATATATATATATATATATATATATATATATATATATACTTTTTATTTATTTATTTGTTTTTTGCATTGTTTGTAGGTTATCCAGGCAACCTAAATTGCAAGCATTTGGTGGATTTATCACCTTTGTTAAGTTTCCTGCTCAATAACGTCGGTGATCCGTTTAAAGAAAGCAACTTCGGTTTGCATTCGAAAAAATTCGAGGTGGCGGTTTTAGATTGGTTCGCGGAGTTATGGGAGATTGAAAACGATGAATATTGGGGATACGTCACTAATGGTGGAACCGAAGGCAATCTCCATGGAATGTTGTTGGGGTAAATTTTTATTTTTTATTTATAGTATTTATTTTACGGGGTTTCTAAATTGCTAAATAAATGTTTAATCGTAGGCAAATTTTTGCGAATAAATTACCATATGATCGTTTTTTTAGGAGAGATTTATTACCGGATGGGATATTGTACACATCGAAAGAATCACACTACTCGATATTCAAAGGAGCAAGAATTTACAGAATTGAGTCTCAGATAATAAACACTTTAGTTACTGGGGAGATAGATTACACTGACCTACAAGAAAAACTCTTTCTCAACAAGGATAAACCTGCCATCATTAATCTTAATATAGGTACCATTGTGAATATATAATATTATTGCAGTAGTTTTATTAATTTTCTTTTTGTGAGCAAATTATTTTTTGAAAATTTAGGGACAACTTTCAAGGGAGGTGTGGACAATCTTGATCTTGTCATTAAAACGTTACGGGAATGTGGCTTCTCACACGACCGGTTTTACATACATTGCGATGCAGCGTTATCTGGCCTCGTCTCTCCTTTTCTTGAAAACGTAGATAAATTTTAAATTTAATTGTCTCCCTGATATATAAATCCAGTTTTATATTTGCATACATAAATATAATTAAAAGGCTATGTTTGTTTTTTTTTTTTTTTTAATATTGAATTTTTTTCTTATTTGATGATATATTTTTGTAGGGGCCACTGTTTAGTTTCAAGAAGCCAATCGGGAGCGTCAGTGTCTCGGCCCACAAACTATTGGGCTCGTCAATACCATGTGGCGTGTTCATTTCAAGGAAAATGCACATGACCGATTTCTCGACAAACATCGAATACATTGCCACTCAGGACACTACAATATCCGGTAGTCGAAATGGTCACACGCCAATCTTTATATGGTATGGTCTAAACATGAAAGGTCGCATTGGATTTCAGAAAGAAGTCAAAAGTTGTTTGACCAATGCTAGGTACTTAAGAGACGGGCTTAAAGAAGCAGGAATTAGCGCTATGCTTAATGAGTCGAGCATAGTGGTAGTTTTCGAGCGTCCGTTAGATCGTGAGTTTGTTGATTTCTGGCAACTTTCGTTTCTAGACAACATGGCGCATGTTGTCTTAATGCCTCACGTGACGGTTAAAATGTTGGATGATTTTTTAAGTGATCTTGTTCAAAAAAGAGAGATTTGGTATGGATCGGGAGAAGTTCGGCCCGTTTGTTTGGCCGAGGAAATCGGGGTTTCTAATTGTGCTTGCTCGATTCATGGGAACTAATGGGCTCTCTATACATCTCCAATAATGAAAATTAAAATAAAAGTGTGGCCACTTTAATTTGGTGTATAATAAGTTATATATATATAAATAACAGATCGAGCTGGTGAAGTATTAACAGGCCATTAATTGGATATATTAATTCAATTAATTAACCATGGTTTAATGTGTAATTTTGACGTGACTGTAATTTGTCATTTGCCTCGAACGAAAAAATAATTAATGATAAGGATATTTTGGTCATTCTCTCTCTCGGGTTGATGGGAAGAATTGTTAGAGAATATTATATTATAGAACTCTTGTAATATTAGCATTCTAGTATGATTGAGTTACCTAGATAATTAGTTAGGATTTAGTTACCTAGTCAAACTCTATAACCTTGCAATATTTCTCTATATATATACCATGTAATCAACCCATAACACAATGGGGGGTTTCTATTATATTACGTATTATTATTTTCTCGCTTTCTCCAATTCTATTCTTCCTATATGGTATCAGAGCAGGTGGTGCATCTTCTCTATCTTTTTTTTTTCTTCTTCTTCTTCTTCTTCTCCATGGCCTAAAACCTAACCGCTGCCTCTCTTCTTCTCTATGGCAACCACCAAACCAATTATCTCCCTCTCGGTGGTGGTACTCTTCTCTCTATCTTTCTTTTTCTATATTTTCTATGAATACCACCCGAACTTTCTCTCTCCCCCGGTGGTACATCTTCTCTATATTTTCCGACATTATCTTCTTCTTCTTAGTCGGTTAATCTCCTTTCTCTCTTTTGATCCCTATTCTTCTTTTAATTATTCTTCTTCCTTCTCTCTCATCTCTTCTCTCTATCTCGATAAAAAAAAAAAAAGTTGCTTATTTTTCTCTCACCCATTATTATTATTATTTTAAATTTGGCAGATATTTCAACAGAGGAAGTCTCTCGCGTTGTGTTTCGCGACTTCTTTTCCAGTCTTCACTTTTGGAGTATATTCGTTCCGACTGCGGGAGCGTGTTAGCAAGTGATTGTCCAGTCTTCACGTTCGTCACGTTTCGACTGCGGGGGCGTGTTAGAGAATATTATATTATAGAACTCTTGTAATATTAGGATTCTAGTATGATTGAGTTACCTAGATTAGTTAGGATTTAGTTACCTAGTCAAACTCTATTACCTTGCAATATTTCTCTATATATATTTCATGTAATCAACCCATAACACAATAGGGGTTTCTATTATATTACGTATTATTATTTTCTCGCTTTCTCCAATTTGATCTATTCTTCCTTATTTCCTATAAGAATGACATGTTTGAGCGACGTGTTCGTCTGTGAATCGTCGAATGAGAATTCAAATTCAAGAACAGCAATTATAGATACATAAATAAGTTAACAGATCGAGCTTGTGAAGTATTAATTAACTGGTACCTACAATAATTAATTTCCTCTTCCATTAATAGGATATATTAATTCAATTAATTAACCATGGTTTAATTGTGTATTTCTTCATTGTTGCATTTATAAATAAGCTCATGATTTGTTGCACTTTGCATGCACACACCTTGTAGTAAATACTAAGTAAAGTGGCCATATATGGATTTTTGCAAAAACCACCCATGTCTAATCTTTTGAAATTGCTAAAAAAATTGTGTTTAAAAAAAATTAGCACAAAACTCCCGGTGAAAACAGTCAAAGCCAAAAAGGACCCTACGAGTTTGACGTGGTATACACTCGCGGTTTGTGCAACTGGGCGTCTGATTTTGGAACTAGAAGACCCAAATACCCTTTAAATCAATATTTTAAATATTTGCAAATTTATTCAAGATTTTTCATAAGCTCAAAATGAAGTTTTCAGAATTTTCAATTCAATTCGTAATACTTTCAGAAAAGCCCTCTCTCCAAATTCCATAGGACCAAATTGCAATTTTCATAATTTCTTAAAACCTCATCATCTTCTTTCCCCCTCTCCTTCTTAACCCGCCGGAAAGACAAAGGCACTTCGCGATGGAACTTTGTGCTCTGTCAAAAATAATATAAGAGGGTATGTGCTAATATTTTTAACACGAGGGTTTTTTTAGTCATCAGTGATTATACATGGGGTTTTGTGCAAAATATAGCTAATAGTCGCAATTACTTTATAAGTTATTTTTCTCTCTTTTAAGTTAGTTCCTTTTAAAACTCCAAATTATAAACATCAAAATATATGTAATTTTCTAAAATAAAAATTTAATTTCAAATTGGCCAACTAATTGAGAGAGATGGGCGTCACATGCAAAACCTTCCAATATTTAACTCACTTAATTAAGTATGTCTAAAATTGTTGAATAAATAGAAAATTGCAATTTCATCTTTTTTTCATACCAAATAATTCGGGATATTATTAGCAAGTGATGTTAAACTACACATGTTGAGGCAAGTGCAACAGAGGTATAAATTATAATGGACTTGATTCCACTTTGCACCCTTGAAATGTTGCATTTTGACATTTACACCTTAAAAAATAATTAATAGCATATTGCACCCTTGGACACAATATACTATGCATAATGCACTCTGAATGATTTTTAAAGCTTACTTAATATGTTATGTGGCATTATTTAGAATGTTTTTTTTAAGGCGCATTATTTAGAATGTTAAATGTCAAATTAATTTAAAATAAAAATACATCTCATCAACATATTCAAAAAAAAAATCACAAAAATATAGTTCACAAACAAAAAAAAAAAAAAATCAGCTATTTTGTTATCAAGTGATTTGAAAATTATATTTTCTTCCAAATATTTCTACAAAATATTTTCACTAATTACAATAAAAGATTCATCAATGGGAATTTTTTTTTTTTTTTTTTCAGTATTTCTTTGCATTTTTCTTTTTCTTTTTGCATTTCATACGCTCGAAATTATATTGGAAGTAGAAGAAAATAAAATTTAATTTGTTATTATGCACCCTACAAATAAAAAAAATGACAATAAAAATGAAATTACCCTGATTAAATTTTAAATATTCAATTCAGAGTACTCTATGGATGATTTATTGTGCTTCAATGGTACAAAGTGCTATTAATTTTTTTCAAGGGTGTAAAGTGTCAAACTTAAACGTTTAGGGGTGCAAAGCGGGATTAAACCAATTATACTTTGAATGGGCCCAAACCAAATTTTGACGACCCATTTTCAATTGGAGGCCACGTGGAACATTTAATTCCGGCCACGTGGCACATTTATTCCCATTCTAAAATTTCTGAATTTCAACCAAACACAGCGCTACAAATATCCATTTTTCCTTCGTTTCAGTTTCCCGTTCACCGTCAACTGTGTGTAAATTCTCTCCGATAATGGTGTCAATGGCGTTCTCTTCAGTTTTCTCCGCACCTCTGCTTGGTTTGGCTACAGTCAAAATGCAGATGAGCTCCAATTCCGCTTCAATGGCGTTTCTCGATTTGTCCAGTAGAATCACAAGTGTCGGTTCTTCGAATTCGTCGTTTTTCAGAGATGGCCTCCCGATTTTGTCCCCAAATTTATTTAGGTTTCCATTAAAAGCTCGATCTTTCTCTACTGTTAATGCCAGAACTGCCGCTGAGAAGACCGTTCACGATTTTACCGTAAAGGTAATTTCTCTCTCTCTTTCTTTCTCTCTCTCTCTCTCTCTCTCTCTCTCTCTCTCTCTCTCTCTCTCTCTCTCTCTCTCTCTCTCTCTCTCTCTCTCACACACACACACACACACTAGGGGTGAGCATAAAAACCGAGAAACCGAAAAACCGAACCGAAAACCGAAAAAACCGAGCCGATATACACCGTCCCGACTTAAAACCGCATACACGGTAAATATTTTTTGAAAAACCGAAAAAATCGGTATGTGTATGGAGAAATTTTTTTTTGCCGAACCGATTTACCGAACCGAACCGATTTGGGAATACAAAACGAAGTGGTTTGATAGATAGTAAAAATCGGTAAGTTTTTTTGGTAATCAATGTGGCTACACTCAGATACTTAATCTTTTGATGTAGTTGGACTTCTTTGATGGGGCAACAGGTTTATTTTTTTGAAGATGAAATTAATGACATTTAAGTTTATTAGTTGTAATCTCATTATTTTTTTATGGCAGTAGGGTTAGTAGTAGGGTTATATTTTTATTTTTATTTTTCTAATGGCAGTAAATTTATTTTATTAGTTAATTTTGGATTGTTACTTGTTAATTTTCTCAAAGAAATGTGATAGAAGTCCTAATTCATCGTTAATCAAACATCGGTTTTATACCGAACCGATTCGAACCGATAATGAAACCGAAATCGAAAATAAACCGAATTGATACCGATACCGTTTACCGAAAACCGAAAAACCGATTCGTACCGAACCGAAAAAAAACCGACATACACGGTTTTAAAATATGAAAAACCGATATTATCGGTACGTGTTTGGTTTATTGCAAAAACCGAACCGTACCGACCCGTGCACACCCCTAACACACACACACACACACACACACACGCACTTGTTATTGCCACATTCATTAGATTAATGTGCGATTGAATTTGAATTTCAGTGGAGAAGAGAGTGGAAGGATTTGATTTGTTGAATTTCTTACGGATAGAATGTTTGGAAATAGTTTAGAATCAGATTCAGATCATGTTAATTAGGTTTTCCTGGTTGAATTAGGTTTTCCTAGTTGAATTAGGTTTTGATCAATTGAAAATTTGGGCCTAAAGTTGCTCATTTTGGTCTTGTAAAATTGCCCTTTTAGAACAAGTACAGATGACAATGGGCATGTGAATTCGAGTTTGTACTTTACTATCTATGAAAATTCTGTCTGGCAAGTCCTTATCGAACTTAAGGAACTAACTGCCATCGAATATTTCTGATAATCGACAGTTGCACTTCGTTGTTTTGTTAACAAATTTTCACCATGTCGTGTTCTTCAGTTGTCGACATTCGTGTATTTATTACTTGTGCATTTGGAGCAAAGAAAAAAAAATCGTCTCTTCATTTTTTTTTACTGAACTACTGTCACCGAAAACAGGATATCGATGGAACGGATGTTTCACTCGGCAAATTCAAAGGCAAAGCACTTTTGATAGTAAATGTTGCTTCGAGATGGTATTCTCTCTTCCATCTATTACGGATTTGATTTTATTTGATTTTATTTTTTCATCATAAAATAGTGTTAAATGCTTATGGATCTTTTGAACTGATTTATTCATTTGTTCTTTTCGATTCAGTGGTTTGACATCATCAAATTACACGGAGCTTTCTCAAATATACGAAAAGTACAAAGCTCAAGGTGAGACTGATTCAGTTAAAAAAACACTAATAAGCAACGAATTCTGTTGAAGTGATTCTTGATTTTTTTGGTTTCAGAATATTTAAAAGTTATGTATGTTAATGCAGGATTCGAGATTTTAGCCTTCCCTTGTAATCAGTTTGGGGGCCAAGAGCCAGGATCGAATCCGGAAATTAAGCAGTTTGCCTGTACACGTTACAAAGCAGAGTTCCCGATTTTCGATAAGGTAACCAACCTCTTGAGCCATTCTGAATAATAGAACTTTTTTTTATATATATCGATTAATTTTATTAAATGTTTAATTATCGCAGGTTGATGTTAATGGACCGAACACAGCTCCAGTTTATCAATTCCTCAAGTCAAGCGCAGGAGGATTCCTAGGTGATTTGGTTAAATGGAATTTCGAGAAATTTCTCGTCGACAAAAATGGCAAAGTTGTCGAAAGATATCCACCAACAACCTCCCCTTTGCAAATTGAGGTATATATAATCAAACAAGTGAATATATATCTCTTACTAATTCATTGTGAATTTGATTTTCGTGATTTTTCTTGGTGAAAGCAAATTTATTTATTTATTTATTCAAATCGTGTACTGTATATATAATTATGTTATTCATCTCTTTTACAGAAGGACATCCAGAAGCTTCTAGCAGCATGAGTTCGATGAGTCGTTTCAGATACGTCGCACTGTCTTCAATTTACTCGTGTACCTTATTTCTGTACAATTATTACATTACATATCTGAATGAATGAGGCATCCTTGTTATAAAATTGTGTTTTCTGTTTTATATCTTGTGCTGTTGTGTGTGTGTGTGTGTGTGTGTATATATATATCTTATGAGATGTGCATGATGTTCTTTTGTTTTAATCCCTCAATTATACTACCATGTATTGTTGGCTTTATTGCAATTAGTACCCTTGTCTAATATCAAATTGCTAAAAAACTACCTGATGTTATTTTATTGGCATAACCCCCCCTACGATTCAAATTTTCATAGCACACAACCCCCTAAACAGGGGTACTGATTGCTAAAAAAAATAAATCATAGGGGGGCTTTTGCCGATTAGATAACATGGGGTACTTGTTTAGCAATTCGATATAACACAGGGGTGGTAATTGCAATAAACTCTATTATTGTTGGTTCAAAAATTTATCTATCCAAATTAAACTTGTAGTCAGTCTAACCTAATCAAAACCTAAAGGGTAAATTACGGCCACTCATGGGGAAAGTCAAATTACGAAAACCCTCTCATGTTTGGATACAATTATCCCCTCAACTACGAATCTTCTTACACGTCCACCCTTGTGATGTCAAATTTAGTGAAGTTTTCTAGATTATGTGGAATATTCTTCAGTTTGTACCTGTTTTACCCCATTTGAGCTCCACATTTTGAACCAAGATGATTGTAAGATGCATCTCTTGGCTTGTAAATGTCAGATTATGGTGCATCAGAAACTGCATGTTTGCACAAAACGAGTAAAAACTAAAGAAAATTCCACCTAATCTAGAAGATTATATTGAATTTGATACCATAAGGGTGTACATGTAAGAAAATTCATAGTTGAAGGGTGGTTATAATTATCCAACAAGACGAAGTTTTTCGACCTTATCTCAGGTGCGACCGTAATTTACCCTAATTTATTTTTATCTCTATCTGACAAACAATATTTGGACTGAAAAAAGTAACACCAGCTACCAACCCCACAGCTGTTATGTGTGTTTCAAGACTATAAAAATATAATATATATCATTAAGTTGTTAATATTTTAGCATATATGATTTAGTTGACTACCCAATGCAAGTTAACACATCTCTAACTATTAACTAATAAATAAATTATAATACTAATAAATTAGTAATTTTCTTGAAATTCATGACTCAAATACCCATGATCTTGCCTCCAATATGTTCCCTTCAAAAAATGCAAGATCTCAATCCAAAACACTTAGAAGAAGAAGAAGAAGAAGGAGAAGATCAACCAAACAAGCCCTTAACCAAAACAACATATCAAGAAAACCGAAACCAATGCTTCAAGAAACACAATGTAACTTGCTCAATACTCTTGGAGCCATTTCAATGGCTGCAAATGCTCTCGTCGAAGCTGAACCCCACGTTCGTCCTCGGCGTGCTGCTCACCTACGGCCTCAACCAGGGCTTCTCGGGCTCGTTCTTCAAGGTCGTTTCCGACTTTTACTGGAAAGACGTCCAGAAGGTGCAGCCCTCCGAGGTGCAGCTCTTCATAGGCCTATACTACATTCCGTGGGTGATGAAGCCCGTGTGGGGTCTAATGACCGATGTCTTTCCGGTGATGGGGTACCACCGGAGGCCCTACTTCGTCGTCGCCGGAGTTCTCGGCGTGGCGTCCGCCCTGTCGGTGGCCGCGGGAGGGCGGCTTGCGGTGGCGGCTGCTCTGACTCTTCTGATTGGGATAACAGGCGGTGTGGCGATTGCGGACGTGACGATCGATGCTTGCATTGCAAGGAATAGTATCGAGATTCGGTCTTTGGCAGCCGACATGCAAACCCTCTGCGGGTTATGTTCGTCTGCCGGTGCTCTGTTGGGATATTCCACTAGTGGTTTTCTTGTTCATCATCTTGGAGCCCAGGTGTTTTTTTTTTTTTTTTTTTTTTGTTTTTGATATTTAAAATATTATAAAATTCGTTTTTTCGATTTCAAAAGTATTTAATTTGATTTATATTTATATATATATGGTAGGTAGCATTGGGGATTTTGGCAATTCCATCAGCTACACTGATTTTGCTAGGTTTTGTGATCTACGAGCCAAGAACAACTAATCAGGATATTCATTTTGAGAAGACAAAGGTTAGAATTAGTTATTATTTCCATCTATATATTTTGCACTTAATTTTATATAATTCCGATTTTTGCGAAACCCGAAAACCCGAAATGCAGGCAACAGAAAAGTTAAGAGAAGCAGTGTATGGAATGTACAGAACAATAAAATTCCCACAAGTGTGGAAACCTTCTCTTTACATGTACCTTTCTTTAGCTCTCAGCATCAGTACGCACGAAGGCCAGTTTTACTGGTACACCGATCCCGATGCGGGGCCCGCATTCTCCCAAGTACATATTTTCACTCTAAATACTCAACTCGATTTTTCAATTATTAAAAAAAAAAAAATCGTTTGAGCTCAGTTTGTTAAATAACATGCAGGAATTCATTGGGATGATATATGCAATAGGGGCAATGGCCTCCATAGTAGGGGTTATAATTTACCATAAAGCCCTCAAGAACCACCCCTTCCGGCCTCTACTCTTCTACGCGCAGCTCCTATACGCCGTATCTGGAACCCTAGATCTCGTTTTCATCCAACGGTGGAACTTAGCTCTAGGAATACCGGACTACACATTCGTTGTTCTAGAAGAATGTGTCTCTCGGGTTATTAGTAGAATTCGGTGGATGCCTATGATGGTTTTGAGTTCACAATTGTGCCCTTTGGGGATCGAGGGCACTTTTTTCGCGCTCTTGATGTGTATTGATAATCTCGGCGCACTTACTTCAAAGTGGGGCGGTGGGTTGGTTCTTCATTTGTTGCATGTTACGAGGAGTGATTTTAAGAACTTGTGGCTAGCGGTTTTGGTCCGGAATGTTCTTAGGTTTGTGACGTTGGGTTTGATTTTCTTGGTGCCGAATGTGGGCCCGAACGATGTTTTCTTGATTCCGGCAAAGGTCGTTGTAGGTGGTGGTGAGGTGGTGGATTGTGAGAAGTGTTTAGAAATGGTTCCTTTGAATGAGAAAGTATAGAAGTTCTTGAGTTGTTTTTTTTCATCGAGTTGTATCGATTTTTTTTGTTTGATTAAAATTATATAAAATTTTCTTGATGAGCCGAGCCGGCTCGATAGGCAGTTTCGACGAAAACTCGAGTCCATTTTTATCATTTATTTTTATTTTCATAGACATATAAGTAATTTATAATGATAAAACAAAATAATATTAAAAAAATAAAATAAAAAACAACAAAATGAGCTGAGCTTAAGTTCGAGTTCGATAAATTCCACTAGAGCTTGAGCAGCCTAGAAAATGAAAGCTCGATGTTAATGAATGAGAAAGTTGTTAACCTCGATAAAGCTCGATTAACTACACTCGAGCTTGAACCTAGAAAATGGCATCTAAAAAAATAATTAAATATAAATGTTAATGAAACCCAAGTGAAATTGCTATAAGTCAGAACTAACTTAGATCATAGCAAAAAATGAAATAAAACATTGTTAAATAAGAAACACATAATTATATTGTTTTTATTTTGTTTGCATTGTTTCCCAAAACAAAATTATATTTATTACACTTCTCAAATAATTTTCACAAAACAATCTCAAAAGTGTCTCTCTCTTTCAAACATGATGTGACTGCTATAGTAAAATGATTTGACTGCTACAGTAAAAAAATGTCTTCACTAAAAAACAAATAAATATTACTTATCTTTCAAATTTTTTCTTCTAAATATCTTTTTCTAACACTTTTAAACATAGTGTGACTGCTACAGTGTATTTTGTCTCCTTCCAAAATATAAACAAACATTACTTTCATTCTCAAAATCTTCGCCCATACTTTCATTCTCAAAATCTTCGCCCAAAACATATTTCCTCAAAATGAAATCAAAATAAGTTACAAAACGCTTCCAAACATTGCCTAAAATTTTATAAAATTCTTTTTTACGTTTGACCTTTTTTTCACAGTTGACTTATATTAAACGTGGAAATAAATGAATTTTATATCCCATTTTGTTCCGAAAAAAGAAAAGGAAAAAGAAAGAAATAACATTAACCCGGATACTCGATACGGGCCGGGTCGGTTCGGGTCGGTCGGGTCGTCGAATTGGTTCTAGGTAAAAGAATTTTCCCCTCTCTCCTCTCGTCGTTCTCGTAAGAACACTTGTAAATTCTCATCACCATTTATTTTTGCTTCTCTCTCACACAGATCCAACCCCCACTCCATTGCTCTGCTGCTGTAATCTCCATCTCTTTCTCTCTCTAGGTGATTGCATTTATTTGCTTTACCGTAATTTTTTCTTGTATTGTTTATGGGGCAAAGATGATTTCATAAGAAACCAGGGTTTTAGCGTCCGAAATTAAAGTAAATTAAGTTGGGGGAATAATTCGTTTCCTTTTTCTTCGTTAATTAATTCAGCTGTGTGTGCACGAACTGGTTGTTTGCTGTTTGTTGTCGCTCCAAACATTATTTATTAAAAATTCTTCTTGTCCCCCATGGGAGAAAGCTGAAAGCTTGAAGTTCTGGTTCGGTTGGAAAGACTCTTTTTAGTTCCAATTGTAGTGTTTTCTATTTGATTTTTGAATTTTGTAATGTAAGTGGCTTTTAAAATTGCTTGAAAATTGGGATTATTGAAGTTGATAATTTGTTCGTTTATCGAAGCTGCTGTTGTTCCATCATGTATTCTTTTTTCATTTCTGATGTGTTTGACATACATTGTTATTTTTGTGTTCTGTAGTTCAAAACTTCGAAAAATTATAATGAGTGCTCGAAAGAAAACACCGTTCCAGAAGCACAGAGAAGAGGAAGAGGCAAAGAAAAAGGCATCTACATTGCTCGTTTACTCTTTTCTATCTTCGAACTAGTGATTTTTTTTCCATCGTGTTGCTATATAATTTTTTAAATTTTACTTTATTTCTTGATATTTTTAGAGGGCGGAGGATGAAACAGCTCGATTATACCAAGAGTTTCTAGAATCGTTTCAGTCTGATGACGCTCCAGGGTCGAAGGCCTTTGTCAGAGGTGGGACAATCAACCCTAACGACAGGGTGAAGAATGATGCTGAAGGTTAGTTGCAATTTTTGATTGTCTTTCCGTCAATTTTTTTATACTGGAATAAGTAAATATATAACTCTATGCAATGTGGATACATGAGTAACTTCTTATTTCTTTTACACGGATCCCTTTGTAAAAATATGGGCTTTTTCTATTCATTCGCGGATGGCAGGTGGAAATCCCAAAGATGAGGGTTCTGGTATAAAGAAAGGGAGTAGGTAAAACTAATGCTTTTGATCAACTATTTTTCAACTCTTGATAATCACGGTGAAAATATCATCACATCCAGATTCTGCTGTTTGGTTTTCCTAGTAATTATGTTGGCTAATTAATTCCATGTCATTGGCCTCTTGTTAATATTTGCCGTCCAGATATCAATTGCTGCTCATTCAGTTGAAACGATCTAAAAGAGACCAATGTTAAATTGTTATAGAGTTCTTTTTATGATTAAGGAAGTGTGTTTCATTAAAGTCCAAAGCCAGCCATTACTCTAGACATGAAAAATATTTGACTACTTATTTCCTCTTTTTAAATTATTACTATGGGATATAGTCAGGATACTTGTATTTACTTGACTGCGCTTTTTCTCTCGCATCTCTTAGTCTTTTACATATGCTTGATCGGATGTCATGATTCCATGCATGTGGGAAATTTAGTTTTATTAGTCTTTCTTGTACAGACAAGAAGGTGTTGATGATATCATCTATGAAGTCTTGTATCTTAGTCTTCTAGTTTGCGCTGGTTTCTGTACACTAAAGTTTCTTGCAGAGAATTAAAAGAGAATGAACTTTTCTATTCCCATATTCGGCCTATTAGTTTCCTCAAGAAAAGATAGTTGATTGCACACAGAGTTGGATTGTGGGAATAAGAAGCTCCAAGGAGCATGTCATGATCTGGTATCCTTTCGAGGTTGTCCGTCATTGTCTTACTATCTTAAACCCATGTGTGCCCATTCTCGAATTTACTCATCTAAATCCCCGTTCAAACATTCATCAAAAATTGTGATATTGCTCAAAACTTATAAAGACTGTGAAGGAAAATTATGCAGTTAGATTCGATAGTAAGTAATGATTTTAAGACTTTTGAAAAATTGATATAGTGCTGATTATTAGTTTTATGAATTAGAGTATCGATGTCATAATATACAAGTAGATGATTGAAAAAGTGGACTTATGATATGTTCTAAATCTAAAAGCATTCGAACTTTTGCATCAAATGGTTTTTACCTGCCATATTGTGAAAAAATACAAATAAGAATTCAGACACACGAGAAAAAATAATAAACTGAGATTGAGAACTTATGCAGTTGGTGGTGGGAAATTGTTTTGAAATAATTTACCCCTGCTTCCAGGAAGATGGTCTAGAGTGGGCTTTTACTGGTTCTCATTAATTTTTCCGTTTCTGTATAAATTTAAAATGTTTTTTTTACTTTTACTGTTCCTTCTTATATCATTTGCTTGAGTTCAGTTATCAGGAATTTCTTATTGTTGGGAGAGGTACTAGATTATAGTTGAACTTCATGCAGGTATGTACCATCTTTCATCCCTCCTTCAATGGCCACTAAGGTTAAAGAGCATGAAAAGAAGGTTAGGAACCAAGCTTGAATTTTACAAGTTTTTCACACAGTTATGGGATTATTTTCTGAAACAGTTTTGCTCTATGTCTTAAACAACGGTATAGAAGGAGGAGAAGCCAAAGGAGAAAGAAAAGGCGAAGTCTCGGAATATTGATCATTTTATGGAAGAGTTGAAGCAAGAACAGGAAATGAGGGAGAAGCGGAATCAAGAGCGTGAAAAGTGGCAGGATACACGTCACAGTGACATTTCTACAGTAAGTGCACTGAAAACTGAGTTGTGACAATCAAAACAGAAAATTAAGTCCTTGTTATCTTTTTTCCTTTTTTTTAGTTGCAACATATTTTGGTACCCTATTAATTGTTAGGTTGCCATCTATACAGCAGGTGCACTTCTCCATGTCTGACCTGTTGCTTTTAATTAACAAATTTAAAATGTCTTCGTTAGAAAAGTATGGTTCCATAATTTGCATGTCGATTTTTTCAGCCATCTAGCCGATTTGATGAGCTGCCGGATGAATTTGATGCATTGGGAAGGCCTGGATCATTTGATGATGGAGATCCCCAAACCACAAATCTTTATGTAGGGAACTTATCGCCTCAGGTGAGATTCTGTCGCATCCTGTACCTTAATTGTGGTTTTCCACTTCCTCGGTTTATTAGCTCGTTTATAACCTGCTGGCTTACTGTTGAGGAAATTCTCATTCAATGTTTTTTTTTATCGTTCAATTTCTTCATTGATAGGTGGATGAGAATTTTCTTTTGCGGACTTTTGGGAGATTTGGACCCATTGCCAGTGTGAAAATTATGTGGCCAAGGACAGATGAGGAAAAGAGACGGCTAAGGAACTGTGGTTTTGTGGCTTTTATGAATAGGCTTGATGCTCAAGCTGCAAAGGATGAAATGCAAGGTTTGTGTAAGCATATTCAGAAGTAAATAATTATGTTTTTGTTGTGTTGTAGTTTTTATTTTTACGTATTTCCTTCTTGAGTGAATAAATACGTGTTTCCTTTTTGGTTGGTTCCCTATCTTTAGTATTAAATAGGATTGTGAGAAGTTTCTCGGATTTTGCATCTTGTGGCTCCTTGTCTCCTGCTACTTGAATGTTTGCTCCAGTATTATGTTGAGTGATATGGAGCATTTTTTCCTGTTACTTTTTATGTGTATAAAAATGTCTTCTACTGATGCAAGAACGACTGATTAGCTGAATACATATTTTCACTTCAGGAGTAGTGGTCTATGAATATGAACTGAAGCTTGGGTGGGGCAAATCTGTCTCTCTTCCGTCACAAGCACTTCCTGCTCCACCTCCTGGACAAATGGCAATCAGGAGTAAGGAGGTCAGTTAATATATTATTTTTCCCAAATTAACTGATTGATATTTTTATGTATGTCGTATAAGACCTTGCCCTCTATTTCATAGTGTTCGATGAGATTGATTTCTCAACTAAGAAACAATTTGATTTAACAATATATCCTTTTATGCTCTCTGTAATTTAGTAAATGAGTCTAGCTAATATTTTTAATTTTTTTTTTAATTCTTGTCAGGGTGCTACTGTGATCTTGTCCGGTCCTTCTGGTCCGTCTGGCCCTCCAGTAAACTCAATTCCAGGCCATAACTCTGAACTGGTAGGTTATCTCATACTTACAGTTTACATGCATGATTCATTTTGGCATGCAAATTTCATAAGCAGAAGCTGTAAATTTGAGCTTCGCCCATGTAGTTGGGAGATGTTGGTAGGTTAAATTTTCTTGTGAAATTTTGAAACCGACTGAAAAAACTAGAGGAGCCCCTATGTCAATGCCAGAAATTTTAACGGAAACTCGAGTACTCACCATTTAATATTTGGCCAGGCTATTTTGCAACAAGTTACGTAATTTGACTGCAAGGTTTTTTTTTTCATATTAGAAATTTATATGCCACACCAAAGAAAGGCATTGTAATTAGTAGCACCTTTCATTTTCTGTCATCGTTACTCTCGGTGTCGAGTATGATTGATGATGCATTTGCTTTGCTTGGATTTCTAGGTTCTTACTCCGAATGTACCTGATATTAAAGTCGTTCCTCCTGATGACAATCATGTTCGGCATGTCATTGATACAATGGCCCTCTATGTACTTGATGGAGGTTGTGCTTTTGAACAAGCAATTATGGAGCGGGGCCGCGGAAATCCTCTCTTCAGTTTTTTGTTTGAACTTGGCTCGGAAGGGCATAGTTACTATGTTTGGAGGCTCTACTCATTTGCTCAGGCAAGTTTGTTGTTTGAAAAAATAGAAGTATTGTATGTGTTTCTATGATGCAAATAATTAAAATTTTATTTTTGTCTCAGTAGACATATCAAGTTGCAAATTTAGTGCTGCGTTTGTGCTTAAGCACTTCCAACTATGAATACTGGTTACTCCACACGATTGAAAGCCTTTCATCATTTTGGATGTTCATCAAGGGTTGTTCTTTCTAACATATCTATTTTCTCTCTAGTTCCACTTTAAGTATATGACTTAACTAATGTGGATTCCTTGCTCTACTTCAGTGGTATATATTGGAAGTTACGTGATCCAATTTCAAATCTGTGTTAAGATCCTTTCCAATTCAACCTAGGTTAATTGCTGCCATAATTCTCTGATAGTAGGAGCAACTAACAAATTACTGATGTAAAGTAAATTGGTATGCGTAATTACAGGGGGATACACTTCAGAGATGGCGCACAGAGCCTTTCATCATGATCACTGGCAGTGGAAGGTATACCAAGTTGTTTCTTGAATTGAAAACTTGCACCAAATCCTCATTTTTCTTTGGGGATAATGCTTTCTATTTCATAATTTTTCACACTATGCCTTTTTACTTACTTCATGCTATTTGTATGTGAAGATGGATACCACCTTCTTTACCGACAGCAAAAGGGCCAGAGCATGAAAAGGAGGGCGGGGGAACTTATGCCGCGGGGAAAAGCAAAGTACTTTCTTAATCTCTTATGTGCTCTTAGCTGGAGATTAAATTTATTTCATAATAGCTAAGCTTTAAATTTTATGGAGCTCTTCACTTGGTTCCATCTCGTGATTCTTACAGCGTGTGGAGATGGAGCGGACCTTGACAGATGCCCAAAGAGATGAATTTGAGGATATGCTCCGTGCATTAACATTAGAAAGAAGCCAAATAAAAGAAGCTATGGGTTTTGCCCTGGATAATGCTGATGCTGCTGGAGAGGTAATTGTCTTGAGGAGATCCCAAGACTCTATAATAATAGAACATCAAATCTGTAATGAAAGTCTCTTCATTGAAATTAGGCACCAAAAAATAGTAAATAACTAAAATGAAATCTACCTTTGGAGTGAGAATTATGTTTGTATATAGCCCAGTTAATATTTTTTTTTACTATCATTTGTTTGTGTCATTATTCCATAATCATTTCGGTTGATCACGTATATATTGTTTCATTACAGGTAGTTGAAGTCTTAACCGAGTCCTTAACTCTGAAAGAAACACCAATTCCAACAAAAGTTGCAAGACTCATGCTTGTCTCAGACATACTTCACAATAGCAGTGCTCCTGTGAAGAACGCATCTGCTTATCGCACCAAATTCGAAGCAACTATACCAGACATTATGGAAAGTTTTAACGACCTATATCGTAGTGTAACTGGACGAATGACAGCTGAGGCACTTAAAGTAAGCAATTCGTTATCATTCCCCAATAATTTTACTTCATCTCCTTTATCAGTAGCTAAATCATCTCCCTATTTTTTCAGGAACGTGTTTTGAAAGTTCTTCAAGTATGGGCCGATTGGTTTCTTTTTTCGGATGCATATGTTAATGGTTTGCGTGCCACCTTTATCCGTTCGGGTAGCTCAGGTGTTACCACTTTCCATTCTATATGTGGGGACGCCCCTGAGCTAGAGAGGAAGCCTGGTTCTGCTGACCATGGTCAAGGCGAAAAGATTAACCATGGTCAAGACGCTGCATTAGCAATCGGAAAAGGAGCTGCCATGAAGGAGCTTTTGACTTTGCCACTTAATGAGCTCGAAAGACGATGCAGGCACAATGGTTTATCTCTGGTTGGCGGAAGAGAAACCATGGTGGCACGGTTGCTTTATCTGGAAGAAGCAGAAAAGCAAAGGGGCTCTGAGATAGACGATGAATTGAAATCTGGACGTAGCCAATTGGGTTCTGGCAGATACCAAAGTGGTCAAAGGGAATCGAAGTTTGAAGCGGGTCCCGCTGAAACGTCAGGATGGAACAGTAGTAGGGTGGATGAAATGGTTCCAAAAGTAACGGGGGCAGTATTTTTGCCCCCATCTGATCAAAAGGAACTAATCAATGCTAGAGATGGAGGAAGTGAATCTATACTGCCAGCCTCTAAGTGGGCCAGAGAAAACGAAGAAAGTGACGATGAAAACGAGAGAAGTACAAAGGAGTTGGGGCTGACTTATTCATCTTCTGGAAGTGATATGGCAGGTGATTCTGATCCGTACAAAACCGAGGAGCGCGGAATTACTAATGATGCCACTAATTCAGCGTATGTTGATGGTGGAATGAACGAAGAACAGAGGTAACTGGAATTATTTAACGTTTTTGTTTTGACTATGTTGGATTGCCATGCCATTTCTTGAAAAAGAATTTGACATTCCACAAGTAGTTGTCTCTTTTCTTGAATATAGTCTTTTGGTTGTGTAACAGACAAAAATTGAGGCGGCTCGAGGTTGCTTTAATGGAATACCGTGAATCTCTTGAAGAACGAGGATTAAAAAATTCCGACGAAATAGAGAAGAAAGTCGCCATTCATCGGAGTCGATTACAAGCTGAATATGGTTTACTGGATTCAAATGCAGATGCTTCTGGCAGAAGTAAGTATCCAAGCATATTTAAGTTGAGAGATACTCTGAAAATACATCAATATTATATTTCTCTCTTATTGTTTGCATGTATAATAAAATTGAGATTGTGGAATTGCAGAAAAGTCGAGTTTAGATGGCAGGGGCCCACATGAGGATTCACGTGACCGTTTGAAGAAGCGTCACCGAAGCTCGAGCAGAAGCGAAAGCCCTCAAAGGAAACTGTCCACTCGAGATAGAGATAGAGAGAGAGGGAATGACGGAAACCGGGAGAGAGAAAGACGCCGTGATAGGGAAAACGATGATCGGGAGAGAGAAAGAGATCGAAGGAGGGTAAAATGAAATGAATGACTTGTGTTTCTTTTTTTTTCTTTTTCTTTTTTTTTTAGTAGAAATTGTAAGGACAAGTAACTATTCCTTTAATTGTAAACTTTTTTGAGTTATGGAACTTAGAAGTTGTTATTTTGCTTTGTGGATGTAATTTGTAAAGTTGATTTTCTTTGACCAAACTTTGTTATATTTCCAAAGTTTTTTCATCATAAATTTTGATAGTTGACTTTCATAAAATATAATTGAAATATGACTTGATTACAACATAAATAAATTATATATATATATATATATATATATATTGTTATAAAACAAGGGAAAGACAATAAGAGAACAAGTGTGTGTATGTATTGTATTCTTATTCAAGTGTGTCACAACTCCATACAATGATGTCCCTTTTATAGTACAAGAAGACCATTCAAAAGGTCATGAGTTACAAGGGAATGAATGGCCTTAACATCCACCATTATCACCTCTAGTTACACACACTAATGATTTTGTAACTCCTATAGACATCCACCATAGGTTACATAACACTCCCCCTTGGATGTCTATGACTATTGAAAGTGTGATACACTGCCTCGTTAAAACCTTGCCAAGAAAAACCCATTGGGATAAAAACTAAGTTGAAGGAAAAAGAGTACGGTGTTGGGTTATTAATCACACTCCCCCTGATGGTGGCAATAGATCGTTAAGCCGACACATTTCAATGTTGTAGATCATGCTCCCCTGATTTCAGCATGAGACATTGGAGTAAGATCGTCGACGTATGGATTTGCAAACTCGTTATTTGATTGTCATCAATAACTGTCATGTCATCTTTCTTCTTTAACTCTCGAGTACTTTACAAATCTTCAATAATTCGTCGGCCACCTCCCTTGATATAGCCAAAATCTCGTTGGTGCAATCAGACAACATTATCCTCATATATTAGGACCAATGTCTTCATTATCTTCTCGAGGAAGGATGGGAATATATTTCTTATGTCCAAAGATCAGACAATCATATGTTTACTCAATGAATGAGCTTTATCATATATATAAACAAATAATGGATAAATATTTCATTCGACAAATGCTCGATCTGCAGATCAAAGGCAAACTATATCCTCCCAAGATATTTTCACTTCGAATTTCTTTCATCAAATAATTGATGATCTTTGTGAGCTCTTCGATATATTACCGCAATGATTTTACCCACTTTTGTACTAAAGGCTTTCACAACTTTATGTGTGATGACCGCAAGTCAATGTACAATTCGTTTCATCAATAATTTCAAATAATCATGGTCAATTGCATTTGTGAATGCATATACTAATGACCAATTAGATGTCGACATCTATCAAAATGTATGAGCTTCAAGCTCTTCACATTATAAAAATAATTGTACATATAGTTATTCGATAACATCTTTAGTACTCCCCATATTTCTTCATAATCAATCAAGAGCTCACTATTTCACTTTCCGGTACCGGATTCTCCTTAGAGAATTATATTTATATAAATGGGGATTGTAGCCTTTGTGGGTACGATCTCTTCTCGAGATGCATATCTTTTCACGTACCATGTATTTTTCTCTTATAGAGAATTTTCTATATTGCATCAACAAAGTTTTCATAATACTTTATGTGCTTGAGCTCATTATATATTTCAATAAAATGTCCTACATGGACAAAACGCGCGCTTTTGAGTTTAACAATGTGGAGGGAGTATTGAGGACTACTTGTCCACTTTATTTTCAAACTCAATATTAACAAATTTAATTTGGTACATGAATATTCATTCGAAAAGAATTTTCAATTCTTTAAGATCTTATATCGGTACAACAACAAAATTGAGAACTAATAGTCTCAAATGCCTCTCTATTCACTTAGAGAGCAAGCTAACCATGATTTATTTGCCAATCAACTCTTTATTGGCACATAATGGTTCGATTTATAATGGTCTTGGTAGCTACCATATAATCATCAATGATTTTCTCATCCAAATATGTATTTCATTTATGCCACCATAACTGGCAAGTATTCTCATATCATAGTAATGGATATTGGTGTTGAGGCGTCCCCCAACATCGTCCTTTAGACGAATCCTTTCATCGAATGAGATAAGTAAAATGATGAGAGTATGATGCTACTAGCGCTAGTAGACTTTAGTTATACGATATTCACCCACTTCTTCGGTTGTTAATCATTCGAACCAACATATATATCTCCCCCTCTTATATGTATAAAGTATAATTGGTTAGTTGTGTACCATAATCATTTTTCACCCATTTAGGGATTCACGATGCAATCACAATGTGAAATTTGTCCTTCGAGGACATTCGTTTATTAAGCCTTTCATGGCAAAATTTAATGTGCAATGTGTCATTCTTAGACATTTTCTCTAGCACTCATTTGCAACATATATTATAATATCAAGTTGCTATTTGTCGATAAATGCATCTAGCATTTTACACATTAAAATTGTTGCAAATGAATTCTTTTTTCTTTTGTGCTTAAATATTTCCATGCACAAATTTAGATGAGACAAATATCATTTCATATAATTCACGCCGTTATACAAGAACCGGCTTCTTATCTCCCCCTTAATAGTGGGAAAATTGTCTCATTAAAATGACAATTGACACTGTATGCCATAGAAATATCTCCCATTAGGGGTGCAAAATATCGCATAGCATAAATAATAAACAAACCACCACATGATATCATGTTATGTGGCTGAATATAACTTCGTTTGAGAATCTAACAGATTCTGAACATAAATGGTCAAATTAAAAAACTTTGAAAATTCAGGGACCAAACTGTAAATTTTGAAAATTTAGGGACCGAACTATAAATTTTTAAAAATTCAGGAACAAGGCTGCAATTTTAAAAAAAATCAGTGAAAACTGAAAATTTTGAAATAGATTCATAATTGCGGATGATGAAAGGAACGAGCTGCATATTCTGAAAACATTTGGACTGAATCGTAAATATTTAAATCTAGGGGACTAAAATGAAATTTTTGAAATTTTGAAGGACTAAACTGTAAATTTTTAAAAAATGAGAATATGCAGAGGTTTCGAATTTTGACAAGAAAATGAGGTCCCACTTTTTATCGTTTGGTTTGAAATTTCATCTCATCTCATTTAGAGCAAGTATAAAAAATCATGCACATACATCCATAGATATGGATTTTGAATGAAATTTGCATCACTAAACTTTTGTGATTCAAAATCTTTAATTGAATTGGTCAATACGGTGACACCAAAATCAACGCAATTTTTTTTGCTCTTTTATTGGTGCTTGATAAAGCTTATCAACATGCTTAATCATAAAATGGATATGACCAATCATTTTTCATATTTCTCATCTCTCTTCCACTTGTAATGATGAGATAAAATTTATAGTAAATAAGCTTTAGCACCATGATAACTTTTCATGTCAACATATCTCTTTGAATTTTTTAATATTGTTGTTTTCACTTTCAAAGAATAACAACAATTGAACGAGTTTTGTATTAGCTCACAACTCGTATTATAGTACGATGTGCTATTAAAAATCTTTATTTTGCTATTACGAGTGCAACTTGAGTTTTTATGTTGTCACTTCATGATCATAATATAGATCCATAAATTAGAGAATATTTTCTCTTACAATTCTGCATTATATCTTCAAGACACATATATCAGTATGAAATATTTTACTTGTCGTTTTCAAAACAACAAGAAAATGGAGCAATTATAGAGAGGATCAAATATCTATCTCTTCATAAGTAACTAGATGTAATGTTACTTTTACTTATGTGTTCAAGACACATACCCCAAATTAAGTACTCGTTTCTTGAAAATGAAACAATAATATTTTGTTCGGTGTCTTCTAGACACATTTTCATTATGAAATATTTGGCTTGTGTCCTCAAGGCACATAACAATAACACAAATATTTTGTGATATCATGGGACATAAATGGATCTTTAACTTCAATATCTAACGCTCATAGTTACATTTCTTCTTGAGCTATCAAAAATAATTTTGAATTGTGTGATATGTCTCAAATCATTGAATTACAAAGGAAGTCCTTTCGAGTACGTACACACACACACACACACACACACACATATATATATATATATATATATATATATATATATATATATATATATATATATATATATAATCTCAAGTTTTGAGTTTTATTTCTTAAATTATGTACTCGATTTGAGCCTTAAGATATATATATATATATATATATATATGTCATGAAATAATAGTACTATAATTAACTCAAATCTTCATATATTCATTGAACCACAAACTGAATAGTTCTTCGAGTACAATATATTATTCAATTATCAAGGTTTGAGTTTTATACCTTTATTTTATGTACTCGGTTTAGGCGTCAAGCCTTTATAATTGGTACTTAATCGTAAAATAATAGTACCTTGAGTGGCAATTTACTCATTAACTCAAATATTCAATGTTGATTATCATCACTTAGACCTTGAGTCTAATGTATTCAATTGAGACTTATAGTCTTCAAATTTACTCTGCCTCAAGCCTTTATATTTAATATTCCTCCACATAAGCTTTCAAGCTTTCATATTTAAATTAGGCTTTAATTTGAGCCTAAAATTTATGAACTTCGAGTTCTTTTTTCGATTGATGGAGCTTTTCAAGTTGCATAAACTAGAGAGCAAGTGGTTTTTTTTTTCTCTTAATATACCACTCAAATCTTTGAGTCACTTGATTGCACGTGCTCGATTTGGGCTTCAAGCCTCAATATATAATAAAAATCGTAATAGTACTTTGATCATGAAAGAATAGTACTATAAATGGGGAATACCCTCTAACTCAATTGTTCAAGAGTCTTATCATTTAGACTTAAAGTCAAATATACTCGATCGAGAATTTTAATCTCGTATGTAATATAGGCTATTGATAAGTGTTCATTTTGCATGATTTTCACTTATCAATTCTTCGAGTTTTGGTCTTCGTTCGTCCGAGTTTTCGGCTTTATTTGTATATATTATGTTGTTTTTGTTTTATTTATATTTTAGGTAAAGATAAGCTATTTTTGCCGATTCTAGACGATTTTGGAAGCAAAGCCGAGAATCAAACCAAACACGTGCAAAAGTGCATTCTCGCGGATTGTAGCAGTGTTTGGTATTTCAAGCATAACTTTTGTATGCGATCTCCGATTGGGCTGATTCAATTGGATTTAGAAAGCTAAC